TAACGTAAGGATGATGATGTAACAATCGCCAACATGATAGAGGTGCACGAAATATACGATGGTAATGTAACGATGATGATGTAACAATCGCCAACATGATAGAGGTGCGCGAAATATACGATGATAATGTAACGATGATGATGTAATGATGATGATGTAACGATGATAATATAATATATCGATGGTAATGTAATGAAATGATTTCGAAGTCAAACAAAATCCTAAAGAAAAAGTAAATATGAAATGTTTCGTGGAGCGTACAGTTTCGTTTCGTTCGTTGCGTCGTCTTCGTTATTAGTTTCTTCCTGAAGGCTAGAACTTAACAAGCAGTAATGATCTCACCATGTTTATTTTGTCTTGCAGAGAAACAGTAGGAACAACAGCAATCCCTGCGACTGCTTCAAATTCGAAGTGGAGGAGAGAATCGAGTGCATCCAGTCGAAAAAAGTCAAGTACACGTATAGGTGCGTGAAATCCAACTCCGACTTTCACGCGATTCCAACTTTTCATTTCACGGTCCAAGTTTACGTGGGCTTATACGCATAGCAAACCTACGTTAATCGGAACCCCCCCACGGTAACACGTCCATGTATCGGTGTTATCACAATCCTGTCGGCTAACTTCGTTTTCACATAAACCTTTGTCTAAACGTACTTGCACTTGCGCTCGAACCGTCACAACCAGCGATCGCGTATCTGCACCGTGACGTTCCCGCAAGGTGGGTGAGTCTCACACGTCCAGCCCCCGCGTGCACGCACCCTGCTCGCGCAAATTCGCCACGGCGGTTTTCGACAGACCCACCCACACCTGCTAGTCCGCGAGTCTCTCGCGTTGCATCTCCGCGATTATCGAAAAAGGGTGAGGTGTGTTTTTGATTCGCGACCGACGATGCTATGTTGGCTTCTTTCAGGACGGAGTATCTGCTGCCGCTCCCAATCCCGCTGGAGGCTGCGAACAACGCCGAGGCCTTGCAGGAGTACGAGGAGAAGAAGGCGATAGCCGAAGCCGCCGGCCAGAAACTGTGAGTCCGCAGAGGTCGCGAGGTCGAATGAGCTGGGATCGCCGCCGCGCCGCTAAACCGGCAGGGTTGGAAGTTGTCTTTTGTTTTTACGAGGCAGCAAGTGCTTGGTGCCTGAGAGAAAAGTAGCTGCTGCCCGAAAAGAAAAGGGCAGGCAGCAGATCTACATTCGCCCGGGTAGAATCTTTGGTGATTTTACTATAGTTTATTACGAATTTCTTGGCAGTGTTATAGTCAGTATTTAGAAACGACCATTGGCATTTCCCTTGAGTAGCAATGTAGAGTGAAACCATCTCATGGACTATTGTCTATGAAGAGCACCTCTGACATTATATCCCTTTAGTGATGTACCCCTTTAGAGATTATTTCCCCTACCTATATTCCATCGATTTAAGAGTCAAGTCAACATAGCGAGACATTCCGACGTTTAGCCCCGACAACAGTGGTAGTTTGTCGTGGAGCGTGGTCGTAGGGGGATGTTGTAGCAAGGATGTTAGTCCCTGCAGGCCACCGGAAGCTCGCGTTCTTACCTTTGACATTATTCCCTTTAGTGATGCATCCATTTAGAGATAATTTCTCCTACCAACAAGCTTTACCCTACCTGTTTTCCATTCGATTTAAGACGACTGTGGTAGTCCCAGAGATGCCAACCACTACGATTTATCCGTATTTTATACGAATTTCTATTCCTTTTGCACCACTACGACCAGTTTGTATCAAACTACTAATTTCACTGTGATCTAAAAAAAAAATTTTTGGTTGATTTATTGTCATTTTTGACCTTCAGAATGCAGGAAATTGCATCTCAGAATCAAAAATTTATCCGGGGGGCATGCCGGACCCCCTTAGCAAACTCGGGTCACTACGTGACCCTCGAACTACTAATTTGATGGCCAGAAACTGCAGATTGCTTCAAATATGTGTTGCCATCTCTGTAGTTCGTGGTCGTGAGGGTGTGTCGTAGCGGGTTGTTGTTGTTGTGAGAGACGATTGTGAAACACGTCGCTTTGTTTTTATTGCAGCCCACCGGAAGCGCTCGTCCGCGCGCAGATCCCGTTCACGTCGTGCCTGCAGAGCGCCGCCGCCCCGGAGACCGTCTACGACTTCTACAGCACCGCGCTGAACGGCAAGACGATGGCCCTCAAGTGAGTACTACCTCCCAGTCGCTCTCTCGGTCGGTCGCTCGCTCGCCCAGTCCCCCCCTCGCCCAGTCCCTTCCTTGCCCGGTCCTTCACTCACCCACACTTCTACAGCACTGGGCTGAACGGCAAGACGATGGCCCTCAAGTGAGTACTACCCCCGGTTGCTCCGTGGCTCTCCTGGTCCCGCCGTCCCCCGGTTCCTCCCTCGCCCGGTCCCTCCCTAGCTTATCCCTTCCCTGGTCTCTCGCTCAGTCCCTCACCTGGGCGCTCACCCAGTCCTGCGGTGAATAATCCTGGTACAGTCGATGAGGATCGAGCAATTGAGGAATTCCCCAAAATTTTACGCGCAAATTCCGCGGCGGTTTTAGCCCATGTGGTTTAGTTTGTGCGAGATGTTCAGTAGCCTGTAGGCATCGTCAGAGTTCGTGCTGCGTACGTTTTATCGCCCGCATGGGGGTTTCCGCAGTCCGTGCAGTTAGCGGAGAGTCAGTAGCGTTGTCCAGTAGAGTTAGCGGGACTTTGCCTGGGGACGGGGGGCACGTGGCAGCAGTGATGTGTCGTCGGCGATAGGGGTCACGTATCGTTCATAAGGATCACATCCAAGGATCATGTTGGCTGGGGTGGGAACGTGTGAACGTGTGGGAACGTGTGCTGCGTCAGTGGTGGCGGGCAGCATGTCGCGCGTCATCCATGTCCGTGAGCCGCCGCCGCTGACACCGTGTTTCATTTCCTCCAGGAACACGCGGTTGGCGTCGTTTCCCGACTACCTGCTTATCCAGCTGAAGAAGTTCACGATCGGCTCCGACTGGGTTCCGCGCAAGCTAGGTGAGTGCGCCGATCATTTCGAATAGTGAGCGCGTCTCGCCTCGAGATCTAGATAGGCGATATATAGGAGATAGATTCTTCATGGAGAGGCAATTGGATTCTTGAAAGATTCCTGATAGATAGGCGGCCGTGACCAACGACGTCTCCGACCTACGCTTCTATGTACGGCATAGTTCCCTACGACGCGTCGTGCGCGCTTGTGCCTGCTCTGCAGCCGTGAAGACGTCTATCTACGCATCTATCTCGAATGCGGTCGTACCCGTGTTAGCATACATCTTCATAGAATGGTCATCTAGCCACAAAGGACACTTTTTTGGGGGGGGGGTCGCTTGAGCGACCCTTATATGCAGATTTGGCTGTAGTATCGAATTGAACGTCGCGAGAGATTAGATTGGCGGCGCTCCTGTTTCCCTCTTTTAGAGTGGCCACCTCTATACAGCCACCTCTATAGAAAGGACACCTGTATATAAAGGACGCTTTTGACGGCGCTCCATTCTACTTGCAGACGTGTCGGTGAACATGCCGGACACCGTTGACATATCAATGTTCCGCGGTTCGGGGCTGCAGCCCGGAGAGCAGGAACTACCGGAAGAAGCGCCACCTACGGTCGAACCAGGTAAACTTTTTATCGTCGTTAGTCTGGTCGTTAACTTTGAGACGTCGTTAGAGGTTGTCGGCTTTTATCAGGAATTTCTTTGGAGCTAGTAGTTGCTGCCGACGTCAAGAGCAGAAGCAAATGACCCCAAAATTTGCTGTCCTTAATTTCGAACCCTGTAAACTGACCCTTGTAGGCAGCAAAACTGATGTTCGTCCTTAACTTGCGAAGCCTGTAAGAATTTCTCCTATAGACAGCAAAAGCGCTGCTTGCTGCCCTTAATTTTACCGTTACTCCGTTTACCCCCTCTCTTCACCTTCCCCTCTCCACTGACGAGCCGTGTCTCACTCTCTTGCCCCCGCGTATGCCAGCAGATGTGGAGATTGACGACGTGATAGTGACGCAGCTTGTGGAGATGGGATTCGCCGTGGAGGGCTGTCGCAAGGCCGTGCTGAACACACGCAGTCAGGGCAGTAGAGGCAGCGACTGAACTGGGTGATGGAGCACAACGAAGATCCAGTACGAAGCACCGAGGAGACGGGGGCGGACGAGGGAGAGCAGAGGGGAGGAGGGAGGACGGCTGAACACACGCAGTCAGGCAAGAGCGGCCGATGAACTGGGTGATGGAAACAATGAAGATCAGGTGACGAAGCCGCAGAGAGGGGGGAGAGGGAGAGACGAGGGGGAGGAGGAGGGAGGCTGAACACACGCAGTTCAGGCATGAGACGGCAGCGACTGAACTGGGTGATGGAGACACAATGAAGATCCAGGTACGGAAGCACGCAGAGAGGGGGGGAGAGGAGGAGAGGAGGGAGAGGGCCAGGAGGCTGAGAACACACGCAGTCAGGGCATAGAGGCAGCGATGAACTGGGTGATGGAGCACAACGAAGATCCAGGTACGAAGCACGCAGAGAGGGGGGGAGAGGGAGAGAGAGGGAGGGAGGAGGGAGGGAGGGCTGAACACACGCAGTCAGGGCATAGAGGCAGCGATGAACTGGGTGATGGAGCACAACGAAATCAGGTACGAAGCAGCGCAGAGAGAGCGGGAGAGGTGAGAGAGGAGGGAGGGGAGGAGGGAGGGAGGGCTGAACACGCAGTCAGGCATAGAGGCAGCCGATGGAATGGTGATGAGCACATGAAGACCCAGGTACGAAGCAGGAGAGGGTGAGGGGGAGGGGAGGGAGAAGAGAGGAGGGGCGAGGTGAGCAGAGATGAGAGAGGAGGGAGAGGAGGGAAGGAGGAGAGAGGGCGAAGTGACAGACAGTAGCAGATGGAGGGAGGAGGCAAGGGAGGGCCAGGAGATAAATAGTGTGAGAGAGGAAGAGAGAGAGAGAGGAGAGAGAGAGAAGCGGAGAGCGAGAGAGCGAGAGAGCTGAGAGAGATAGGCGGACGCAGAAACAGAGAGAGAATAAGAGAAAGAGTGAGTGACGAAGGTAAAAGACTAATAACTGATTCCACGCGCGTGATCCGGCATACGTCGCTTCTCCCTCCGCAGACTTCTCACAGCCGATGTTGGCGTATGCGTGCCGCGCCCGCCGGCCTCTTCCAGCCGGACAGAGGATAGCTGATGAGCATTGATCAGGCAATGGCTTCATGCGGGCGAGCAAGCTCATCAAGGCCTGAGAGGACACGTGAGTATAACGCCGCCGCTGTGGCTGCGCGACGCGTGATCCGTGATGCGCGGTCCTAGCCCGTAAGCCGTAAGCCTAAGCATCTAGCCCTAGTCTGCCCATAGCTATAGTCTAGCCCTAGCCCGAGACCTAGTCCTAGCCAAGTTCATTCAGCACCTAGCCTAGGACGCTAGTGCCTAGCCCTGTCATAGCCCTGAACCTAGTCCTAGCCTAGCCCTAGTCCTAGCCGAGTCTAGCTCTAACCTAACCCTAACCTTGAACCTTAACCTAAACCCCTAACCGTAAGCCTCCCCTACCTCTACCCCTAACCCTGAACCCGTAACCCTACCATAAGCCACCCCTGAGCCCTAACTTACCCCTACCCCTAACCCTAACCCTAAAGTCCCTACCGTAAGCCTACCCTAACCCCTAACCCGAATCCCGCCTGGATGATTTTTACGGCAGGTGGAGGGGGGGGTTAGTCGACTACGGCGCGACGCGGTTCTGGGGCGCCGTTGTCAGAAACAAAATTAGTCGCAACGTTAGTCTTACCAGGTTAACTTCCACCGTCACTCAGTAAACGTTGACAAGAAAACATCGATAAGGTTACGGAGAACGAAAAAATTCCCTCCAAATATCCTCATAACATTACGATCGAGAAGCTGCAAGACCTCTCGTAACTTTAATATAAAGTTCAATAATAACACAGTGTTACACTAGCGAATTACACATTATTGTGATATATATATTTATCGATAATGAATTAAAACTGGTGTGTTTTTCTTGAAAAACACGTCAACATCATTAATTATCTCACCTGTAATAAAACAAAAACAATACTTTACAAAGTTGGGCGTATGCGATTGGTTTTTCTGTGATTCTAAAGGTTTTCCACGCTTGCCAGACTGCTCGTCTCGCGTTACAGTGTGAGAATTTGTCTGTTGTTGTGCCCAATATTAATTCAGACCATGTCGTTTCTATCAAATAGTATTTATTTTATGTGGTTATCCATCATTAATAGCATATAAATTACTGTGATGCTACGATGATAAATGTGTATGAAATCTTGGAATTTGTATTGAGGCTCATCAATCTGTAGGCAGCCTTGTGATGAATTCCGTTATCGTAAAGTGATTCTAATAGCTGCGATGTGTTTCTGATGCAACGCTAGTCTCGCATACAGTAGCATTATTCGTAAGTGTTATCGTAGCATTAACTTTAGCATTAACTTTACGATGTTTCTGACAACGGGCCCCTGTTTGGTTAGCTTCCAGGGCTCTATAGTCTATAGTCCCTATACTCCCAGAAAAAATAGTTGGTACCGTACGTGTTAGCGACGGATGGTTGGCGGTGGACAACTATAGTTTTTAAGCATTTTCACGTCATTTCAAACACTACGCGGTGTGGTTTGCTTAGAAGGCTGAAAGTTTTTCACGTAATAATCGCGTATGTAGCGAGTGTTCACTGCTCCTTTCGATTACACATACTCTTCTACTATTGCGTGTTGTTTCTACCACGCCAGCAGTACGGCAATTGCCTTCCGCCCACATTGTCACACACAGCACAACAGCACACACAGACTGGGGGGCCTACTTACGACCAGTGGAAACTGCGGATCTAGTGGGGATGGTTTTTTGTGAGGTTATTCGTTTGTTGTTTCCTGGTGCTATGTTGTGTGGGTAACAATCTCTGAGCGAGCCGCGGACTGGATATTCAGCCAATTGCAGACGAGCGGACGTCGAGGACATGGAGGAGATGGCCGCCGGCTGGTGCTGCAGGCGATTCCGCGCGTAGGCAGTAGTGCTGTGACGGCGCGCGGGAAGTGAGTATAGGCGGCAGTCCTTCTATGGAATCGCAGAGTTGTGTGGGTGGTGTAAGGTGGCGAACTTTGGAGTTGAACTTTTCGGGTGTTGTGTGTAAGACTATTGTAAAACCTGTTGTGTGATCAGCGTGTCAAGGATTTGTAGACGATGTTTTTGTTTGGCCATTGTTATGTTTTACAGTTTTCGGGGGAACGCGTTGCGTGCCCACACGTGGAATGGTTACGAACTATCGTATGGTAGCCGTGTGTGTTTTGCAAGTCAAACTTTGAGATAAACAAGCTAGCACAGCTTGCAAAGCGATCAATCGTTCGTTCGTCGTTTCGGTCGTCGTCATAATCATCATTATTTCGATCCCATCAGTCGTCATTTCGATCATCATTCATCGATCTCATTCATCGAGCTGGGTATCATTCACAGTTCTAATATTGTTCGGGTTTTCGTTTTGGGTGGGTGTGCATTCGTCATTGGCAGAGTATAAGCTGGTTGGTTCAGCGTGGCCGAAAAGGGCATGCC